ACGGCGTCATTAATCGTGGCATATTGTACGGAAGAGCAGTCATCCGGAATGCTATCGTTAATAGATAAGCCTTTGGGATATGACAGATTGTGGATTAGCCTAAACTCATTTGGGACCTTTTTGGGAACTATGCCAACGGGCGATGTACGAAAAACAGGAAAGGGTGCGGTGTCAAATTTAAAAGGTTCCGCAATTCTTCCAGCATCAAGTTCTTTAGATAGTTTCGAAAAGAGAATGTCTGGATTTTGCAGAGCACTTTTAAAATTGGGGGCCTCAAATGAAGTAATTTCTCCTATGAAATTAATTCGAAAACCGAAACGGAAACCGTTGATTAAATATTGTTTTAGGGTTCGGTCGTAGCCCGCAAGGAGCTGTTCAAATCGGTCCACTCTTACGGGAGTTACTAGGGAATTGCCCCGAAGGCTGAGCTGAAATTGATGCTCCGGACTTAACGGGTTTTTTTCGCAGTTGGGAGTTTCGGTTTTGACACTGGGTGGCGGGATGTTTCGCACCGCACTTGAAGCACACGTGCTCGTATTGGCAACCTCGGCAGTGCCTCCCTGAATGAAATGACCAACAGGTTCCCCTAGGAAAGGGGGGAGTGGAGGTTCGAAATCACCCCCGCGGGGTTGTTCTATCACTACCGGTGAAAGATTGTGATTTGGCCCGAAAATTAGTCATGGCACGTAGCCATAGCTCCCAATGAATTTGATCCCACGGGTAAAGTTCAGCGGACGATTGTCGCAAATAACGAAACTGCTCATCATAGAAAATCCAGTCCCCAGACTTATTAGCAAGGTCACGCACCACTTCGCAATATTTCATTAGCTTAAGGGCATCCTGGGATCATTTTACGGAATAAATGGATACAAAAGGGGGTTAAAAGCGGTAAGCCACTGGCTGATATAAGTGACCTTTTTCGGTGTATGATAAGGCTCGAGAGTTAACTGTGGCTGATTTACAGCACCCCCACTGGAAACCATGGAAAGAGCAAACGTTTCTCGAGGGGGCGCGACAGAGAGCAGTGCTCCAAAGTCAATATATTCATTTGCCCAGATTTTCGCTTGATTTTAGCGCTCACACGAGAACCTAGATTAACAGCTATGCTAGAGAAGGGGTGGCTAGGCTGATCGCCAACCCCAAGCAATGGTGGTAGGGGTGCCTGTTCAATTGTACCTGTTGTATATGAGAGGAATTCATTTTGTACAACCTGCTCTACTGCAGCTGACGGCGTTGGAGTTGGCATTACCGTACTGGAGACGGTGGCTTGATGCGCAGCCATTGCATCCTTTACGGCCTGTGCGACGGCCACGGAAATGGTACTTGTAAGAGCCCGCACGTCCAGCTGCATCGCTCCTTGTCCTCCTTGTATTTCCCCTCCTTGTCCAGTTTGCTGCGGAGGCATCGGAGGATTCGCCACAACCGATGAAGGTCCGGCCTCAGAGAGGTCTGTTCGTAGCCGTTTCGAGCGCCTGGCTTGTGGGGCGGTGGTACGCTTCGCAGGAGGCATTTTTCAATGATAAAAAAACTAACTATAAGTGACAGATGTGATAGGCAGTGAAACAAGTGTTAGAAATAAGTTTTAATGTCAAATAAATTAGAAAAGGGGGGTCATCAGAGGAGCCGATCCAAATCAGGTATTTGAATTTACATAATGACTCGAGTGCAAAAATTGACACGAAAAAATAGTGAGGCTTATACCTCATAAGTTGTAACGAAAAAGATACCCATTTCCCCAACACAATAACATTACAGCATTGACAGTCTACCGAGTGCATTGGACACACCCACATATGCAGGCGGTCAAAATGGATTGTACACTAATAACATGGTAACTGCAGGCAAACAAACATACATACCAAGCCGGTAATAGGAAGGCACACAGTGCACTTCTAAGGTTTCAGAAACCACAAAATTTGGCCATAAGTGGTCAGCAAAATGCGGCAAATAATTGCCGGAAAACAAACAGAACAACCAGCTAAACCACAAGGCGATAACACACGCGGCTTGGTTTGAAATAAAAACCAGATAAGTAAATAGGAAATGGGCAAGTGAAAATGTTTACGAAAACTAGTTGGGCTGCTCGCCAGAACGTGCCCAGGAATGCAAAGACTTTAAAACGGCCCCCCTGAGACTGCGGTAATACTTATAGTGCCCCAACTTATTAAGGTGAACACCATCACGAGCGAAATATCTCTGCGAAGTATTCCAAAAACCTCTGTGACCCCCAAAAAAGCAATAGGGAATTGGCTCTAGAAGGACCTTCAGATATTTCGTGAGGGATTTAACACGTGCGTTAAAGGCAGCATCATTTTCGCGAATTAGCGTTTGGCAAACACAAATTTGTCGCACACTGTGCTCTTCGTACAGAATACCTACTAAGTCCTCTATTGCCGAGGCTGCTACTAAGGGATCTGGGCGGGAAAGATCATTAGTTCCCAACTGTAGTATCACAATATGGGGAGCAAACGACTCCACCACGTGGAGATCACAGCGAATAGTTTTTGCAATTGTTCGACCTCCAACACCATGCCATTTAAACTGGGCGGCCCCGTGTATCATAAAACGATGATCAAGATGTGTACTATCAGTAATAAAGCTATTTAAACGGCGGATAAAAGAGTGCCCGAGAATTAACACACGAGGCTCGCCCATCTCAATTTATGTTAAAAAATTGAATATAGCATGTGCGAGAAAAGAAAAGAAATGGCAGGCGAGGTGCAAAATCGCTAAGTCGATTACAGAGATAAATGTTATAGAGATGGTAAAATATAATAGGACTTGCCTAACAAAAATTTTTTTTCCGCAGAGATGTAATCGCCGTGATGGCGAAAGCAAGAGGGGACGAACGCGGGAATGCATGCTCCTTGATACGAACACTCCCTCAGGGCGATAGAAATGATTGGCTCTTGAAAGAGAGGTTAGATTGATGTGTAGACCACAAAGGCATATTGTATCGACATAAATAACATTATGCCCTAGCATAATGTTTGGTTTTACCGCCAAATGACCATGCATATATAGTCAAAATTAGGGGTCTTTTAAACGCGAGAACAGTGAATGTATTGGCTCAGGAGCAAGGATAACGTTGCATAAAATCAAAATTGTAGTTTTTTTACTTAGTGTAAGTGCCATGGTGTTATGACACGTCGCGAAAAATGACGTATTTTGTGACGAAAGACGAGTGGCCGTACCAGGGCTAGGCATCCTAAGGATTTTTTAGACCTTCATTTTAACGTCTATAAACGCTTCATAAAATTGATTAGCCTGAGAAAACAGCCGACATTTGGCTACGCTACCACTGGTTTCCCCGCCAAATGGCGTGTGAGAAACAAGCGCAGAAATTCCATACTGATGACTCGTCACTACCCATATCTGGGTAGTGCTTCTGATTGGTTGAATCAAATTTTTCACGCGGCACGACCAATCAGAAACACTACCCAGATCTGGGACGCGCCATCAGCATAAAATTTCTGCGCTCGTTTTTCAGACATCATTTGGCGGGGAAACCAATGGTAGCGTCGCCAAATGTCGGTTGTTTTCTCAGGCTAGAAATTAATACGAATTTCAGAAATTCCGAAGTTAATTTAAGTCGGGTTTATTTCCGCGACATTAATGAAGTGAGCTTTAATTTCCGCGACCTCCAAGTTCTCGATACACTTTTGAAATTCTTGACACCTAAGAAAGAGGAGTATTTTATAAGAATTGTGATCCGCCAGTATCAGTGCCTGTGAATAACCCTGGAAGTGGCCAGATTTCTTTGCTTGACCCCTTCGCACGTTTATGGAAAGTACCAAGTACAAAGTTTCCAATTCGTATTATATGTTTAACTTTGTTTCTGCTGTCTCAACAAGTTTTCTTTCTTTAAGAACGTCGCGTTAATTACATTGAGTTCATTTTGAAATGTTTCCCCCTCTTTCGCGTTAATTTTCTCAATTCAGTCTTTTTCCACTAAATTCGCGTCAATTTAAGTTACGTTAATTTCCAATACCTTAATTTCGTGAATCGTTAATTTCATATTATAATTAATATAAGGTAACTTAAAATATTAAGCCGGGGAACCCCACTTTTTTGGACGATAGCTTTTGGTATTATTAGAAAAGGAAAGTGTGCCGTGATTTGAAAACAATTCTGTGGAGCGCAGCTTTTTTGTAAAGGTGGAAAATAGGAGATTACTGCGCAGTGGAAATTTTGTTTCGTAGACTTTTTAATTTGTTTTTTTTCTCTAACGTTTCCTCTTAAAATCTCTTAACTCTAATAAAATATTTAAAGCTAAAAGTGATCTTGCACAAAAATAGCTGTGCAAAGCCATGTTTGTTTTGATAATCTCGCAAGCGTACAAAGTAGGATGTGCGGCCGCGATGGGCGTCTCAAGCAAGACTGAGTACCAGTATGAGCCACCTGAGATCTGTGCTAAAATTGTTGTTAACTGACGTCGTAATAAAAACGCCGGGCCTATTTTAATGCACTCACTTTAATACATCTCTTTGCTTTCAGATGTGATTGTTGCACATCCAAGCTTTTTTTGGTGTGTTTTTGAGTGATTCCACGCTTTAAATGTTCATTTTGTCCATAGGAAAGTCCGTGGGGTACTCCTTTATATGGCATATTCGGAGATGTGCGCTGGATAGGGTACGGTTTTTGTCCTCTCTGTTCTAAAGAGGGTATACGACGAGTCTGTCCTTAACAGGGTATATAATTTCTTGCTGGTCTGATCTAATTACCAGAAATACGTGAAAGTATGGTATGCACGATTGATTTGACTTGCTTAATGAAAATTGTTTGTATGTACAGGTATATAAAAGCACTGGCTGTAACATGAATTTGCTCAATTGCAATTTTGCCAATAAATGACTTAAGCACAAGAGAAGCATAACCACAAGGCCGTGGACCAATCATAGATCACTTTGACCCAGACCTCCCGCGAACATATCAAAAGCAATATGGTGGACATTTCGTCCGCCGTCTTGTTCATCATCGGGTTGAGGAGAGCTGGTACTGGGAACTGGGTCAAATATACCTTTCTGCGCGTGCGGAGTCCTTATGCTCATGTTTATGCGCTAGTGCAAATCAGGCTTTAAAAACAACACTGCGTGCATTTGGTTCTGTCCCAAACCGGATAATGAAATTGAGAGTGTTGTTCTAAACAGGGTACGGTTTTAGGATTTTTTTTATCCTAAACAGGGTCAGAGTTTCAAACCTTCAGCATCTCACCTATACCCACTGAATATTTGTTATAGTTTGCCCTCGGGCAAGGAAAACAGCTCTACAGTTACAATTTCAGTATCCGGCTTATAATCCTTGTTCTAGCCCACCTTCACATGTCCTTTCTTTGGCACTGTAACTCTTAGCAGGAGAGCTTTAAAAAATCATGCAGAATATTTGCTCACTGGTGTGATAATTAGATATTAGTCAAGCTGAAAACAAAACTGAATCTTTGGTAGAATAAAAGTTTCATGCTTTGGATTTATTCGCTTTTTTAAGGGACCTCTAAATTTAGTTCAGAACTAATTACTTTGAAGTTGTGTGAACTGGATAGTACCTGCGCAAATTTCTAACTTACTCAAACTGTCTACGAACGCCGCGTCTAACTAAATAAAATCTATTTTTTTAATTCTGACAGTAAACAAAAATATTTTGTACTGCTCTCGTCTTAACTTTTGATATTACATAATAAGGTACTACACGACACGGACCGGACTCTCTTATTCAGCTTGGGGTGTCTGCGGTTAACAGAGGCAGCGAATTCACCGCATGTCAAAAATTTCAAAAAACTTATATTTATTTTCAGTTTCCGCAGTATATCGTAAGTGGTTTGAGTGCCTATCAATGTTTCTTTACCGATTAATTTATATCCGAAACGAGTACAGTTAACCGTGTAGATCATAACCCCATGGCCAGGACCGCCGTGATCACTGATGTAAGTCAGTATCGAGATGTAAAATAATCCTGACTTATTCTTGTGCCACAGGAAATCAGTCAGATCAATGCTGGAATGCACAGGAAACACATCGGCCTCACGACCTCTCAATCGGCAAAGATAACATTTGCTCAGTCAAAAACATGAATCCTTCACAGCATACTCCATCCTTATTTCTAAGGTTTAAGTTTTAAATGATCAAGCGCTCTTTTGATGTTTAGCGAGATGAGATCTATTATATTTCCCTAAAAAAAAAATTTGTCTTTCGAGGATTTCCTTCAGGCGGAAATTTTAATTATTGTGGAGTGGAGTGGAGCCTATTTATAGCTTGCTAAATTTGATTAATTTCCACATAAACGCACTAACTTTACGTTGGGAGATATATTAATTATCATTTGATTGGCGCCGAGTTTATCGCTTCCCAGCCAATTAGAAACTTCCGTAAACCTAGCTGCGGACTAATCAAAATAGTGTTTACAAGGTAAGATCTCAACTCTACTCTGTTGCATGCAAATCAGCCCATATTCCACAAATCTGCCATATCGCTATCTTCCCTTCATCAGTACATGTGTTTATAAAATGGATTTGCCGTATTTGCATACCACAGCTCTAACACTCGTGACTATGTTGCGACAGAGCGCTGCGGTCACGTGGTGAGGCCAGACGATTGTGTAGTTAAACATTTTCGTAGCCTGCGTGGCAGGCGTTCGAAAGGGAAGGGCACGAGACCACGCGCGAGGGAGGTTCCTTTCCTTTCTCCCTCGCGCGCCCCACGTACTCTCGCGCGCCCAAATCTCCCTTCCCCTTTTAACGCCTGCCACGAAGGCTAACATTTTCGCGGTCTCTACAGTTAAAGGGTTCAGTGACG